TGTGTGTGTGTGTGTGTGTGTGTGTGTGTGTGTGTGTGTGTGTGTGTATAGGATAAGGGAGGGGTTTAATTCACCAGACACATTGAAAGTCAGTTCATCACATGCTTGACACCCTTGGCCTTCATGATTGACCTCTTTTTACTCAACCACACCCTTTGTCTGCCCTGCAGAGCCAAGTCTGACCAGAGCCAAGAAGCCCCTTCCAAAGGCCCCATATTTTGATGAAGAAGTTGATTTTAACCCATTAAGGATATGTTTTCTCAGCCAAAAAACAGAGAAGGCCCCAAAGTCACTAGAGCAGCTTCAAGAAAAAACAACCAACCAACCAAGCAATCAAACAACCAAACAACCCCGCCCCCCCAAACAAAAACAAAAACAAAAAAAAACCAAAACAGAGCCTTAGTTAGGCCAAGAGTGCAATGAAGGGCCAACCCCAGGGAAGAGAGAAAAGCTCACTCTAGAACATACCTTGCAGACCCATAGTCTCTGACATGGTTTCGGGTTCAGTCTAACTTAGCATGTAAGTTTGGCTCTCTGTAGCCAAGGCAGACTGTGTTTACACTAGCTGCTGAAAGCACTGTGCTTGCAAGGACTTTGAGGCCAAGTCTAGGCTCAGAGGGGCTTAACGTTACCAAGTAACACGTCCACGCCTGTCAGTCATGTGGAAGTAGGAGGGACCGTTGGCTCCCTTAGTTGAGACCCTGCTTGGGAAACTCTTGGTAAATGTGTCTTGGTCTCCACATGCTCACTCCACATCCCCACACAGCTGGTTTAGTCTTTGCCTTGAGTTCTTAGGAATCTCACCCACTTAAATCTAAACTTCTTGGTTTATTTGTTGTCGGCTTCTTCATTTGACTTCCTTTTTTTTTTTTTTTTTTTTTTTTTTTTTTTCTGAAGATGTTTCCAGATTTGGTTCTTTCTTGTCACATCTGGAGCAGGATCACTGGAAAGTTGTCTGGATGGGCTGTCTCTTTCTGTGAAAGTCTTTCTCCACACCCTCATTTACCATCATCTATCCTCCACTCCCATATCATCTGAAGGCTACTGATGGCAGTTACATGAACTCAAATGACAGATTCCATTCTTTTAAAGAAGGTTTTATTTTATTTTTATGTATGTTTTACTTGCATGTCTACGTCTATACGTGCACCATGCGAATGCCCAATGCCTATGGAAATCAGAAGAGGGTACCAGATCTCCTAGAACTAGAGTTACAGGGGTTGGGAATTGAACCCAGGTCCTTCGGAAGAGCAGCCAGTGCTCTTAACCGCTGAGCCGTCTCTCAAACCCAAACAAATCTCATGTTTAATAAGGCTATCTGGCATACCAGCAGGGAGTGGTACATTTATTTCTCCTTCCAAGCCTCTGCTCATTTGAGTTTCTTCGTTAATAGGACGATTCCAATGCTATCATCTTTGAGTGCATTAACAAGCCTGTCGCTGACTCTGTAGGGAATGGTCTGGCCACACTCTGATTGCCGGGGCTCTTTGAATCTCCTAAGTACTGACTATAGAATGATAAACCATGACATGACTAGCCATGGAATAGTCATGTCATGGTTTATCATTCTATGATCACCATCATAGATGTTGGCTCTCCCAGACTAGACCCTCCCAGAGGGGGTGATGGATTTGCTCACCCCGCCATGATAAGAGCTGTCAAAGCAGAGGACGGGCAAAGGTTATAAAGAGTGCTGGGCTGGACTGGGAAGCAGCCTGCAGATCCGTGTCCACTGGCTGCACAGGGACATAATGGTCTGATCTGGGGTGGACGTGTGTGGTGTGTGTGTGTGTGTGTGTGTGTGTGTGTGTGTGTGTGGCATGTGTGTGGTACCAAGTGTGTTTCTGTCTCTGTGCTCCATTGTGCAGGAAGCCTTAGGCCTTGAGGTGTTTGCTGTGTGAGTGGCCTGAGAAGGATCTGATAAGCTCCCTCACGAAGACTTTATAAACTGAAAATGCTTGTTCTGGGGGATCCAACCTCCTCCCCACACGTCTCCCCTGCCCCACCAGACCCACCAACCCCGTCCAGGGAGAGTGGACAGCCTCAGTGGGCTGGGGAGGGAAGTGGCTGGTGGGGTGGGTTCCCTTTTTCTCTTCCCTCATTCCTAGGCACTCTCTTCTGGAAGCACCCGTTGGGTTGTGGCAAGGTAGGGCCACATGCTTATGCTTCCTCTTCTTGATATTCAGAACCTTTCTGGAAGCCACCAGGACTTCCCTCCCAGGGTAACTGAGTCCTCCCCTGGCTGTCTGTCCATGTGCACACTCTCACATGCAGAGCAGGTGATGAGGGCTGCGCCAGGAACTCTCAGACAGACACTGGCGCTGACTTCAGGAGCCCCAGGAAGGGCTAGATGAGGCTTACCTCACCACTGCTCCTGTGAAGCCTGCATAGCCTGTTTCTGAGCAGAGGGCCAATGCTCCTTTTTGGCATTTTCCACCAGGAGTCCCTCTGCTCTGAGGGTCTGGAGAAGCAGCATGCTGGGAGTTAATCCAGAATCTCCAGGAGAGCCCCAGGGGGACATTCCAGATATAGCCAGATTGTACCTCAGGAAGGCGCCTGGGCCCACGTGCTCTGCAACAGTCCCCATGCAACCAGAGGCCCCTTGGTCCTCTGTCCATACCTAGGGCTTCCCTGGCTTTCAAAGAGCCCGTTTGTTCCCAAATGTCATAGTCCAAATTAAATTATCCAACTCAGAAGGAAAGGTGGGGACCTGTTAAGCATGTCCTCTGGTCCCCCCTGGCTTTGACAAAGACCAGCAAGTGCACAGTGTAACTCTGGGCCTTTCCCCGTCGTTTGTAGCTCCAGATTTCCGGGCTTACCTCATAGGAGGGCTGATGGCTTTTCTGCTTTTGGTGGTGTCTATTCTGTGCATCTACAACAGTTTTAAGATTGACATTGCGCTGTGGTATAGAAGCACCTTCTCTGCTGCCCAGGCTCCGGATGGTAAGTGTGGGTGGTCTTTAGGGGGGCGGGGTCTCAAAATGGCCATCCACTCACTGTCTAACGTCTTTAAATGGCTCTTCTCATATTGTGGTAAGGGAGCCCTTTTTCTGGCTGGAAAATTGAGTGTACAGTGTCTTTGTGAGCTTCAGGGAAATGGTTTGTCTGTGACTACCTGCCTCTGCCTCCCTCTCCCTGAGTGCCGGGATTACAGGCATGTGCCACCGTGCCTGGCTAAAAATCCAAACACACTCCTGTAGCAAACCCACCAATAAACCCCATCCATTCTAAGCACCTGTTTGTGCGTAAAAGCACAACACAAATTATCATCTGCTCGTTTGATAAAACACAGATGCTGCAGCTCAAACTGTATTTAACTAAATGTCAGAACTCAAAATCAGTAACCCAGAGGCTTGGGTGTAGCCCAGTGAAGAGTATGGAAAAAACAACAACTAAAGAAATGAAAAGGAAAGGGCAAGATTCTCCTACGCATGGTGGGAGAGAGTTTATTGCAAATAAAAGGGGAGCAAGGATCTCTGAGAGTACAGAGTAGAAATGACTCTGAGTCAGGTGAGGACAGGGGACGGGGGAAGGGAGAGCAACTGCCGACCAAGAGGGACAGTCTGGGCCAAGAGACTGGCCGAGAGGAAAGGACCAGGATGGTTGGATTATGTGGGGAAGAGCAGCTGATGGAAGGGCAGTCCAACCCCTTGGGTTGGAGAGTTTAGGGTTGGAGGCAAGGCTAGGAAGTCACAGGTAGGGACTGAGGGGTGCAGGAAGAACCTGGGAACCAGCATCCATTTCGATATGTTAATAGGCACCTCAGCCATTTGTTCTGCTTTTGAGCTGTAGCCATGGCCATCGCCTGGCCAGCCCAGTGCAACCTGACATGCTTGCCTGTCCCTCTGGCTGCCTCTGTTGTCAAGGGAGGGCTCAGCGCCACACCACTCGTTTCTTCTGACCTAGATGGAGTGGGTTGATTCAGAGAGCCTGAAATTATTTTATGTGGTGTTTCTGGAAGCTCTGGCCTGTCCGGCCCCTTGGTGTTTGTGCCTCTGACTCACTGTAACTCCCAGGAGTGTGACTTGACTTAGTTATGGTGTGAGCACAGCACGATAAAGCTGCCTGGTAAAGAGCTCGAGTTGGCAGCAAGGGACAGAAGGAAGAATGACTCAGCCACAGCAGAACAGGGGAACCCAGCAGATGACACAGGGAGACCTCACCCTCCCAGAGATCAGCACAGTCCAGTACTCTGCACAGCCGGGGGAAGGGGGCGGCTGCTTTGGAGACAAGCCAACAGGGCCTCGAGTTTTTCTTTGTTGCTGTTTTTAATTCTGGAGAGCGTGTGTGTCAGTTTCCCCACGTCTCTATCTCCTCAAACTGCCCTGTGTCAGAGCTTTGAATAATGGCTCTAAAATGGGCTCCTGATGAGCCGGGGTTAATCCTGAGGCCTGCTGACAGTTTGGATTCTCTTGAGGGAATTTTCAGGAGCATATACGGTATAGTGAACATGGATGTAGAAGAGAGAGAAATGAGGTCCTTCTTGGCATAGTTTACTCTGACCTGGTCAGTCAAGCTTTGCCATGCACGGTAAAGGCTATTGACCTGAGTTACAGTGCTCCAGAACTCCCTGACGTCTGTGCTCCCGTGCTGTCCCAGTGCTCTCAGAGCCCTTAGGTGTCTCAGTATCTGCAGGACTGGAACGGCGAGTCAGTGACAGGCTGGTTGAGATGGCGTTTACGCCATCCAGACGTACAGGCAGTGTGCATGTGGGACAGAACGGTGAGACCTGAGCCAGCAGCAGGTGCCCAAGGAAACCGAGGGCAGAGCATCCAATCAAGCAGCCTGCTGGGCTGATGAGTGAGCTCGGTCTCTAAAGGCAAATCTGCTGTCACACCTGACGCCAAGTCTGCTAATTCCAGCTCTCCCCACAAATGCTTCTGTGGGTCATGAAATGACATCTGTCCTGGGCTCCTTCCCAAAGAGCTTCCTGCCTGTGGGGAGCCCCATTCACAGCAGCGTGCTGTGTGGAGATCTGCCTCTAGTGTTCCCATAGGCACTGTCATCATTCGGTTCATGTGGCTTGCCTTCTAATGCTTCCTTTGCGTGCCAGGCGTAGACATGCCAGTCACCAGGCGACTCAGCAGAGGACCTTACATAAAGAATCTTTGAAAATTCAAGTGTCATCTATCAACCGTTTTGGCAACTGCTCTGAAATGTCACATGAGATGTGTGTGTGTGTATGCACGCACACTCGAAACAGAGAGAGAGCTGAAGAGACTTTAGTCAAATTTTTGCAAATATCAGTCTATAAAAATGATTTTGTTTGGGCTTCACAAACAGCAGCAGAGCTGTGTACAGATAGATGTTTTAATTGAAGGAATGGTTAATCAGCCCCAGAAAACAGAGGAGCTTGGCAAGGATAGAAATACATCGCTACCTCTGCTTGTGAGAGAGGTGGAGAAAGGGAACACCGACCAGCACAGCTTACGTTCCTCAGAATAGCCACTGAGAAATCCAGAAATTCTGGGAGGCAGCCATCTCCCAACCTTCTGGCCTCTGCAGCTGTTTCCTCTGCTGCTGTTCCAGTAACAATGGTTGGGAAGCAGTCGCCTCAGAACTTCACAGCAGTAACCATACCTGTCTGTTTGTGGGCAGGCTGTCTGAGGCCTCAGCTGGATGACTGGCAGTCACCTTTGGCTGTTTTCCTCAGTGCCTCTCCACAAAGGCCTCTCCTGTCAGGGTCCCTGGGTGGTGGAGGTGGGCTTCCTGAAGTCTGATGTTGGCTCTCCAGAGACAGCCTTGTTTTCCTGTGTTTCCGAGATCTGAAATTTTTGGGGTCAGTTCCATCACGCATAACTTTAGGAAACTACTCAGTTCTGAAGGAGTGGACTCACACATCATCTCCTTGTGGGGATATGGCATATTTCTGAAGAAACATGATCAACCAGAGGCATTACTCTCGCCTGTTCAGGTCCGCGCACAGAGAAATCTGCTCTGGGTTTTCTGATTCAGAATCATGTTTGGCCACAGCAGGGGAAGTGGGCAGCCTGGATTCAGAAGACTCTGCACCTTTGAGAGACCAGGCACCGCCCTGATCTCCGCTTTCTTCTCAGAACCTTAGGCTTCAAGCGGGCGCCTCACAGTTATTGGGGAGCAGCTGGTACTACTGCCCAATCCTGTCCTTCAAACATCAGCGGACTTGGGGCCAGAGAGATGGTCACTGAGTGACAGCAGTGGCTGCTCTCCCAGAGGACGCTGCTCTGATTCCCAGAACCCACACTGCAGGGGCAGCTGTCTGTAATTTAGGGCTCTGGGTCTGATGACCTCTTTTGACCTCCTCGGGCACTGCATGCACACAGTACACAATCACAGGCAAACACCCACACATAGGAAATAAAATAATGGAAATTTAAAAAATTGGAGGGCTATGCCACAAAACCTAAAATGTGCATTACAAACAGGTCTTTGAGAGTGGGGAAAGCAGTGCACAAGGAGATCAAGTCCTTGAGGCATACCTTTGCTCCAGACCGTAGCCCGAGGGCTGGCGACTGGGCTTGCTCAGTGGCCAAGCACACTCAGCAGCCTGGGGTTGGCCTCCACAGCAGAAAGAGAACAAGCTGAGGAAAGAAGGCAGAAAGCCTGGGGCTTGTCTTGGATTGAGTTTTCAGAACACACGAGTCTTTGCACTCTCAGCAACCTGTCCATCTGTTCTGAGCCCAGCAAGTTGCACACCAGGAGAAATTGTGTCCTCAGATGCCTTGTTTTGAAAGAGAACTGGGATTCTGTCAACAAAGAAAACATCTGGCAAATGTACATCCTTTTGTTTTCCATTTAAGCAAAGCCAGCTGGAGGAGAATGAGAAGCCATGAGAGGAGAGATGGCAGGGCTGTGTCAGGGGCTGGGGAGTGATAACACTGGCTGCCAACCCGGAACCACATTTTCCAAGGGGCATGCTCCCCGCTGGGAGGGCAGCACCAGGCGGCCAGCGCTTCCCGACGGATGCCAGTCCAAACAAATTCTTACACAGAAGGCTCAATAAGACACAAGAACTTATGAGATCTCCATTTATATCTCTTTATTTTTTCTTTCACTCTCAGAAAAAAAAAATATCTTGAACTTTGGAAAAATATCTTTGAATTTTGAAACTCTGGAAACATTACATTTTAAACAGAAAAAGTTACCTATTTTCTGAAGTCACTGTCTGGAGACCTTGAAGACAAGGCAGGGGCTTTAGCTGTGCTGGGTTTGGCTGTCTCTAAACACAAGTCAGTCCCTTCTTAGCACTGTGACCCCAAAGCTGAATCTGCCAGTGACTGAGACCCTCCTTGTCCTCTACCTCAGGTCTCCTGGTCAGTAAGATGGGGGTCTCCCCTGCACAAGGACAGACGCCAGTATTAGCTCTACACCAGCTTCCCCGTGTGGCAGTGGGCAGGGAGGCAGAAACACCTGTGCTGGCTTCGCCCTCACACCTGGGTTTCAAAGTCTCAGTTTCAGCCCCATCACAGGTACACCCAGGCGGTCCAGGTTTATTCCCCTGTAGTGGGGCTGTGACAGGTCTCCCCCAGGTCAGCAGCAAGAATGCAGGATGGCAGTGCAGAACGCCAAGCCAGCCAGGGGGGCAATGGAGGTAACTGGACCCGGGCTGCAGTGCCTCAGGGCAGTGACCTGGGGTTCACTTTGCTCATTAGAGTCACGTTGTGAGCTTATCTCCTTTTCTTTCCAGACGAGAAGCTGTACGATGCCTATGTCTTATACCCCAAGTGCCCAAGAGAAAGCCAGCGCCATGACGTGGACACCTTGGTGTTGAAAATCCTGCCTGAGGTGCTGGAGAATCAGTGTGGATATAAGTTGTTTATATTTGGCAGGGATGAATTCCCTGGACAAGGTATGTTTTAACTGAGGCGTTAGATGACAAATGAAAAACCAGGAGCTCCAGGCCTGTAGTCCTGCCACTGGGGCTGCTGAACCAGGACCAGTGGGGATACAGGGACAGTTGGGGCTGTGTGTAGATGCCCTATCTCAAACAGAAGCAAACAAAGAAGGAAATGAGTCCCTTCCCTTCCCTTCCCTTCCCTTCCCTTCCCTTCCCTTCCCTTC